AAAAAAAAAAAAAAAAAAAAAAAAGTTTACATGGCCACAACCATAAGCATCTGTAATCTGTATTAAGATTATATACTTGCCTTGGCTATATACTCCAACCTTCTTTCTCTCCCATGTCCTACCTTTCATAAAGCCATAGAATGATTTGGCTTGGAAAGAATTTTAAATATCATCTAGTTCCACCCTCCTGCCATGTGCAGGGAAACTCTTCATTAAACCAGGTTGCTCAGAGCGCCATCCAACCTGGCCTTGAACATTGCCAGGAAAGGGGCACTCAACTCTCTCATGTGGACTTGGATGCTGTGAGTGAAGAACCTCACATTGATGATTCTGCATGCCAATGTCAGTCGAAGGAGGAAAACAGACTCTCTTCTTCAGTTACAAACTTACAGTACTGAAAAATAGGGGAAAGAAGACGGAAAAAATATTTCATTTGCCTTCCCCTTCCTACGCCTGAACTCCACAGTGATGTTTCCAGACTTGCGTAACTGTTACCCACCTTTCAAAAGGGAATTCTGTATTTGGCAACTAAGCTGACACCTGTTTTATACCAATTCTCTTTTTAAAAGTCACAAGTACAGTTACAATAAAGTAATCTGGCAAGGTACAAAAGTATACTACTACAGTAGCATATAAATCTATACACTTTGTTCAGCTGATACATTGTAAGTACAGGGCAGTGCCAAACCTTTTATATTTGCCAAAGGATAACATGGCAGGAGGGTCTGCCAGGGCAGTGCCAGCTACTGAGCTGGCAGTGAGCCTGGGAGCTGCCCAGGGTACAAATCCTGGCCCTTCTACTGCCATTGTTTTGAAAGCTAATCACTTTGCATTTCTGTCATTCCTTCAGTAACAAGATTAAAAAGCACATACTTGCTTTTTGAAAGGTCTTCTGAAACATACAGATTAAACTAAAATTACAAACTGTTTTTTTTATTTCCAAGTAGCTATAAAGGTAATTTATAATAACCTTTGTTGCCCAAATGCAGATAGTGAGTCAAAAGAAAAAACAGCCCTAGACTGAGAAAAAGCAGACACCTCAATTGTTTGTTTACAGGTGAGCAGAAGCTGCAATAAATAGAAAGGTTTTATTCACATGAAGATACAGCTTTTTCCAAGTGTTGCATCTGCTGTGGGTGCTACAGAATGAAGAACAGAGCGGCCTATTTTCTACTTGACTCAAGTATCCCACTATTCCTTGCGCTCCTGACTAACCAGCAGTGGTATCTTGTCAGCTTGCTGACTCATGCAAACATCCACCTGCAGGTGAACTGACATCCTGGTGAAGGAACAGAAATATTCTGTAGTGGCCTGGACTCAATCATTTTGAAAAGGTAAGGGAAAGTAACTCAGGCATACACAACCAACAGAATTTCCAAACCTCACTAATCCTGAACCTTGCCTCTCATATGAGAAGGACACACAAGAAGTGAAACAACTAAGCACAACATTGCAGCTTAAAATGTGATCAAAGAAGAGGCAAGGAACATAATGAGGAGAGGTAAGTCATGAAACAAAACTTGGTTTTCCTAACCATGATGGAAAAGTTGCATTCTTTGCTTTATTAGACAGATGTGAATGCGTCCAAAAAAACACTTAGCAAAAGTACTGCTTTGAAGCAGTACACAAACAAAAAAAACTGTAACAGATTTTTCCAACTACATAAAGAGCTGAAAACCTAATACTGGAGACTGAATTGTAATCATGAGGCTTATATCATGATTTCCCCCATCAAAGTCATTGGTCTGGTTTTAGTGTGCATGAAATAAAGGATTGGACAGTTTAATATAAATACCTATTCTCTATACCTTCTGGACTACAGAAGTATTAATGAAAATTCTGTAAACTCAGGTGCCTAATTTAGCTAAACATATAACATAAATAGTACCTCCAGACCTCACCAAACCGTACAAACACTACTGAACCAAATAGAAGCTGCAGCTGCTCAAAATCTCTAAAAAACATAATGATGCAGTGCATTCAAATGTAACACCAACATTGTTCAAATCTATTAAAGAAAAAAATCTTTTAATTTTCATAGAAACCAGTCAGCTCACTAGAAACATGCCCAAATGATACTCTATTCTAGGCTGAAAAAGCCAAACTAAGCTGTTACTTTGTCAAAAAACTGCTTTTATGCACAAGCCATTCACAGAGATCTAAGCAACACAACGACTTTTTTACAAGCATTTTATCAAACAGCTTGCCAAGCTCCATATAAACACATTTTACTATTTCATAAAATTCATATGCCAACTTTTTGAAATGCGAAGTGACAAGTTTTCAGTGGAATTTCTACAGAGCTACAAGATTCTTATTGCCCTCAGCCTCCTGATACTGTAAATTGACTATATGAAGCAAGAAGCCAGAATCTTTCTCTTTTATACAGGAACGCCTTGAAAGCTGGAAATACTTTAATGGTATCTGCAACCAGCTAAAGAAGAATTCCTTTACACAAGGCTCAAAAACCCCCAGTGATAAGCACACAATAAATAATGAACCACTATTAGACTTCTTTTACTGATTTCTTTAATTAGGAACCCCTTAAAGTTCAGAACTAATGCTAAATATCCTCCAACCTGCAGATATACTTTAGCTAGGTGTTTACATAAGGAAATCACCTCATATTAGTGGTTTTAGTTGTTTTCTAATTTTTTTTCCCTAAATTGTTCACATCTTACTTTCACCCAAGGATCTAAATTTATACAAAAGCAACTTAGAGTGAACTCACCAATGCCATAAAATGAAGACCAAGAAAAAAGAAAAAATAACCACTTTCCGAGCTTCATGAAGAAAAGCCTCTGAGTATAGTACAGTTGAATTTGTGCCATGTTATATTACATGCCAATCTATCTGACAGCACTGAAACTTTGCACTTCCTTTTACCAGTTAGTTTTCTTATGGCTCAAGGTCTCCCTTTGATTATTCCCAGTTCTGACACATTAGCTATCTTTTTATAATATTTACTCTTGCTTTACTACCCATTTGCATTTGTCATACTGCTACTGCTGTAAGGATTTTGAAGACATGTCCTTTATGGTGCTTTGTAGCAGCAATGTAATTCCTGTGATGGCTTTTCATTGCAGATGATGGAAATGAAAAATGTCTGGGTTTGACTTACATCAAATTTCTTTCTTTCTTTCTTTCATAAAACAGTAAAGCTAAAGCTCTGCCTATTTCTATGCTGCAATTTTAGGCTTACTATATCAAAGAACAGCAACAAACATTTAACTAGCATTTTTGGTGGTTTTATTACCACTTCCTTTCATATATCCCATGTATGTTTTACATATATATATATATATAAATTAATACCTAGGAAAAAGAAGCAACCATTACCACTTAACTCAAAAATATTGGACGAGCTCAGTGACAGCTCTAATACCTGGAAAAGCTTTGATATTTCAAGTTAGCTATGCTCTAGTATTCCTAAGGTTGCAGAGCAACCTAGTTAGAATCAGAGCTCATTTTGTGGTATTTAATCCTTCTCTGGAATTAATGTCTACTTTTCAGTTATTAATCACTTTTATACTATAACCTCTTAATTCAGAGTTTAAATTTTCAAGACACACATGAATGCAATTTATTCCTACTGAACAATCCCTAGACCTCTCTACTAATCTAAAACAGCAGCATTCCCTTAACTACTTCCAAAATTTTACTTAAAAGTTGTCATTTTGCCACATTCAGTCTCCTCTCTTCCAAAGTTTCAGTTGGCTATAATGGAAGGCTATTCCCTTTAGCATCCTGACTGAAAGAAATCACCTTCAATTCACAGGTATGTTTTATCCAACTTCACAGTATGCTTAGAACACTCTATAAACACAGCCTGTGTATGTGCACCAGGCACACACCACAGTGAAAAAGTGCTCAATGGCTCTTCTGAAAGCAAAGGACTCTATTTGGAACCCACACCTGCACAAGAGCCTTGCTCAGGCCTCAGGATTGCTCCCCTTCAACAACTGCCAGCTAAGCAAACCCACATGGCAAACCTCGTTCCCCACTGTTCTCTTAGCCATAGTACCATGAAAATGGCATCCATGGAATACCTATCCCATGGCGCCAGGTGTCTCTTCCCCACAGAAGAGAAGAAACCTTGTTTAGCCAACATACCGGGGCATGATGCCTAAAGGACCTCTCTGGATCAAGCCAGGTGTTTGGTGACAGGGACTTGTATCCTGCTCTCTCACGGGAAACTAAAGGAGACACACCTGTGCGTAGATACTGGACAGAAGCCACCAGCTCGGCCTGCAAGGAGCTTTCCCAGACAGGCCATCAAGCCAAGCGTGCCCGGCACTGGGATCAGCGGGATACCTGGGGCTGGGGACACACCAGGGACCAATACACACCCCGGGAGCTTCCCGGGCCGCTCGGGAGGGAGCGGCCGGGGAGGGGCCGTCGGGAGCCAGGTGCTCCTCGCTTCTCAATCCCCTGCAAGTAATCGGAACAGAACATCAAAGTACGAACGCGGTCACACAAAAGGCGAAAGCGACGACCTGAAACACGGCGTGCAAAGCAAAGGCGACCCCAGGGCACAGCCTGCTGACACCGCACCACCAGGGATGATGAGGGGAAGCGGGGCAGAGCAGGACCAGCTTTAGGTTGGACATTTGGTAGAACTGCTTACATAAAGGGTCATTAGAATAGGCTGGCCAGTCCCGTCCCAGGAGGTGTTTAAGGAAAGACTGGATGTAACACTTAGTGCCATGGTCTAGTTGAACACGGTGATGTTCGGCCATAGGGTGGACTTGATGATCTCAGAGGTTTTTTTCTAACCTAATTGATTCCGTGACTCCGAGCAGCCGGACACCGATCGGCGGGGCCGGGCCACCGGGGCCCGCTCCCGGCACGGGGCGGGGGATACCCGGGCGGGCTCTGCGCTCCGGCCCCCGCGCTGCCAGAAACTTTCCGAGGAGGGAGGGAGGGAAGGGAAGGAGGGGGAGGGCGCTGGTGCAGGGGGGGAGGGGGGGTTGGAAGGGGGTTCTCGGCGCGGCCCTTACCCGTCCTTGCGGCGGGCCTTGTAGACGTGCCCGTAGGTGCCTCTGCCCACCTTGCATCCCTCGTACTCGAACAGGTCCTCCACCCGCTCGCGCTCGGCCGCCAGCTTCGACTTGAACTCGTAGTCCATGTCTCGCCCATGGGCGGGGAGGGACGGGCGGGCAGGGGGACGCGGCGGCCGGATCAGCACCCGCAGCTGGCGGAGCCCCCTCCCGGCGCCGCCATGTCCGGGGCTCGGCGGGGGCGGCGGGCGAGGGGGATGGGGGGGGGGGGGGGGGGGG